GTTGTTTGTTTGTAGTTCTGGTTGTTGTTTGTTTGTAGTTCTGGTTGTTGTTTGTTTGTAGTTCTGGTTGTTGTTTGTTTGTAGTTCTGGTTGTTGTTTGTTTGTAGTTCTGGTTGTTGTTGTTTGTAGTTCTGGTTGTTGTTTGTTTGTAGTTCTGGTTGTTGTGTTTGACCCCTCAGGGCTTCCATACAAGTTTTAATCTCTGAACTCCCTGGCTGACCTCTCAGAGACCTCAGACCGACTCCGTCTGAAGGAGGAAYAAGCCACTCGCAGCAGCAGAAAGCAAATGTTGCTCCGTCACAAGGAGCAAATGTTGCTCGCACCATCCATCAGCACCTCTGTGGGAACTGGACCCGGGTCAGAGGACTCCCAGCTGCCAGAGAAACCCAYCATGTTTCTGCACAGAGGCTGGTTTCACTCAGAGCTCTGGAGATCATTTGGAACCGGTTCAGTTGGACAAACAGGCGTCTGAACAGGAACAGAGGCAGAACATCAGTTAGCACCTGGTTCTGAACCCCCCGACCCCGACCCGACCCGTTCTGACCTCGCCTCACCTTGTTGATGGAAGAACCACCCTGACTTCTGACAAAGCTGGGATGTGGTGTGAAATGTAAATAATTTTATTAYTGATGGACCTGATCAAAGACAAACGGTTCAGTTTTTAGAAATGATCAAAGCAAACCGTCTCAGAGCTGAGAGGCAACAAACATCAGTCATCAATGAGCTGGAGGAGGTTTTTACTACTAATCCGCTCTAAAACTATCATCCATTCAAATTATTCTAATCTGGATTCATCTCAGCTCAAACGCTGAAAGTCCAGATCAGATGATGGTGATCTTCAGGGTCCACTGCAGTAAAAACAAGTCTGGTTCTGGGGGTACAGTCTTTAGACTTTAACAAGTTCTGGTTCTGTGTTGTGTAGATTTAACCAACGATCAACAAACAGTCATAAAACTGTTAATTATTACTGGTTAACAACTTCTTCGRAAGCAGGACTCATATTGTTTTCACACTGGTTTTTTTCAGTGATWTTTGGTCAACTGTAGCACAGAAACWGTTGTACCGATCAACACGAAATGAGTCAGGACTGTAGAWGAGTCTGACCTACACTGCWCCAGCCAACGGWTTTATGGTGGACCCCATGTTTGAGGAGGGGGCTCCTTTCAAAGAGGGGGTGTCTGGACAGGCAAAAATGCTTATTGCTCAAAAACTATTAAACATCAGAGCTTCAGGTTTCTTTGGTTGTTTAGCTCTGATGAGGGGGTATCCATCAGGTCAATCAATGCTCCCCCCCCCAAAAAAAAAAAAACAACAAAAGACCCCCCCTCCCAAACCACTACAATTTTGGGAAGCACCTAGTAGCATGACTTTTATTAGGAAGAAAGACTTCTGAGTTCTGTACATTTGTGCGTGCGGGG